ATTAAAATTAGTGACTGAGATAGAAAGTTTTCCTGCAAATTTAAAGAAGTTAGTAGAACTATTTAAGAATAAAAGAGTTGCAAGATTGAAGGACTGGATGTGCGAAATGAGATTGAAGGAGTTGATTATGTCTAAACTTCAAACTAATAAACTATCATGGTATAATCTTATGCAGTTAGACACTTGGACAAAGGACTGGTTGAAAACTAATGGCAAATGTAGAGAACTTACTAAGTACGAACAATTTCTGTCATCACATGAAGATACGCAAGATACAATTTTGAAAGGAATAGTAAAGAATACTGAAGATACTGCCTCACCCAATTAAAAAATTGTTAACAGTACCAGCCCACTTGAGCTGAAGCTGAAAATACAGAAATGAATCTGTTCTATTTATTTAATGTTTCTGGTACTGACTTATTTTTTAATGCAATTTGTCTTCTCAGTTCATGGCTTAATGGCCCTACTTGTGCCTCCTGTGTAAATACTGAGAAGTTACATTTTAAGTCTTTATGATGTTTTTTTCATTCCCTGTCTCTCACAGTATGTGACTTGAGTTGTTGTGTTTTTTGAAATTTAATCTCCCCCCCCTTAACAGAACATGACTTTTGATGTGTGTCTAATACCCTGGCTTTGGTGAAAGAATTGTCTGTGATGGACAGCAGCATTTTCAAGGCATGTTAGAGTTACTTAAAAGCAGTTAGAAATGTCACTTAGCAAAGTCAGTTATAGTAGAGAGATTGCTTGTAATCGGATGAATGTGAAAAGAAGGACTTAGAGGGTTTTTAGTTATTTTTAGCTTTTGTATTTGCTGTTAGTTACTACTAGCATCTTATAGCAGTTATAGCTTTTTGAGATCACAAGCAGTGCCCTATTCAGACTGGAAGGACGTCTGCATCTCCCCACTCCAACCCAACTCCTACAGACTCCCAGTTGCGTGCCCAGTCTAGTACTAGTTGTGATATTGGTCACATGATGCAGTGAGAAGCCTGCCAGAGCAGGGAGAATGCCTATACAATTGCCTTCCTCTCTGAATAGGATCCTGGCCAATATCCTCATTTAAAGGTGACAGTCTTTGGCTGAAATGCTGTTACTTAGCGTAGTAAATTGCACCAGAGCATTGAATCCCTGAGAGATTTGATGACTCAGCTCCTCCATAACTTCCACTGATTTCAATGAGCCTACCGTACTTAGGACTCACTACTCCAGGTCACTTTCTGGTGTTAATCTAAATCAATCACCTCTCTGCCTTCCTCTCCTTGGTCTCCCCTTTTCTTTTGTCTCTTCCACATTCCCTTTCTTTGCTATGTTTCCCCACTACCTCTGTCTTGTCAAACTTTTCTATCTCTACTGAGATCCCTTTTTTGGGGAGTGGAATGCCACTTCTTTCTATTTTTATAATTGTACTTTTTAATCTCACCTTTTCAACAATGTGCTCAAGGCAGTATATGTAACTTCTTCCTCTGCTTTTTATTCTCAAACCTGTGTGGTTGCCTGTACTGCAGTGAGTCCTGGACACTTCGTGCCCGGCAGGAGAGGAAGCTGAACACCTTCCATATGCGTTGCCTCTGATGGATTTTTGGTATCACCTGGCAGGACAAAGTTCCAAATAGAGTAGTCCTAGAACGAGCTGGAATTTTCAGCATGCATACATTACTGAAACAGCAACATCTACGTTGGCTTGGGCACGTCGTGAGAATGGCTGATGCTCGGATTCCAAATGATCTCCTGTATGGAGAATTAGTGCAGGGAAATCGCCCCAGAGGGAGACCATGGCTGCGATACAAGGATATCTGCAAGCGGGATCTGAAGGCCTTAGGAATAGACCTCAACAGATGGGAAACTCTGACATCTGAGCATTCAGCCTAGAGGCAAGCGGGGCTGCATGGCCTCTCCCAATTTGAAGAGACCCTTGTCCAGCAGGCCGAGGCAAAGAGGAAGTCACAAAAGCACCAAAACCAGGGAGCTGGACAGGGGACAGATTAGATTTGTCTTCAGTGTGGAAGAGATTGTCACTCTCGAATTGGCCTCCTCAGCCACACTAGATGCTGTTCCAAGTCCTCCATACAGAGCATGTTACCATAATCTTTCGAGACTGAAGGATGCCTACATAGTTTTACCGATGAGGACTGGTCTCAGGTTACACATTTCAGTTGGTGACTAAGGCTGTAACTACACTGGCAAGCCAAATTGAAGCAATTCAGCTTTGCTGTGACTTGATTTGCAACCGATTTTGCACTTTTGTTTTGGTGTCAGTGTCCACACTGGACCCTCAGGCTGATGCATTTTGAGCTGGACCACAGCCCCCAGGCCCACTTCCTTTGATCCTGCCCTCTGCCAATCCCCAGCCATCTTTCTATGGTTCATTGTAAAGCTGACCGGCTATTTAAAATGTTGCACAGCATGAGGGGAAATGGACCGTTTTCCAGAGTTCTCCATAATCTACAAATATATGCAGACATACCGCAGAAACATAGTCTGCTGTAGTTTGTCAGAGTTGTATTTATTTAATACTGATTTTTATCTATTTTTGTTTAGTTTACTGCTAGAGGTAATCTAGCACTAAAGTTGCATAACACTGTAGTGATAAGGTGATCCAACATTAACTAGGCAGACTGTTTCAAAAAATACATCAGGGTGACTGAGAAGAAAGATCACAAATTGTTGTCCAAAATATCACAGCCTGCTTCGTACATCGCCAGAATATCGACCACAGTCACATTGTCCACCCTTTTGGGGGCAGGCGATTCAAATCATTCTAGCATGGGAAAAAAAAGAGATCTTTGTTGGGAGCAAAAAGGGCTGGACTGATTTGAATTGGGCCTTCTGTCACGTGATCAGTTAAAAAAAAAAGAGGAGATGCATCTATTTTGCACCCACAACAAATCCCATAGTATTTGACTGTGTAGTTACAGCGATTTTCCTGGACTTTGGATTTTCTGTAGGCATTTTCGAATATACATGAAATATACTGTTCACCTCAGAGATGAGCTTCCACTTGTTCTGTCCTCTGAACAAGAGCCCTGTGAGATAGAAGCTGACCCAAGGGCACCTACTGAACTCCAGGGCTGAGGAAATTTGAATCTACTCTTCCTGGCCCTATTCTGGCACTCTAACCACTATGTTGCACTGTGCATTGTATTTTTATTGTGCTCAATTAAAAATATTTATGGTGCATGAAGATCCATGTTTGACTGCTTGCAAGTATATATTATACACCTTGACTTCAGCAAAACCTTTGAGAAAATAACTCAGGATATTCTGATTAGCAGGGTAACTGAGTGTTGCCTGAATAACACAAGTGTTGAGTGGATACACAGTTGGTTACAGAATCATACTCAGAGTGTGCTGTCAATGGCTCCTTCTCAAACAGAGAGGAAACAACAAGTGGGGTACCACAAGGCTCAGTCCATCAATGGCTCCTTCTCAGAGAGGAAACAACAAGTGGGGTGCCACAAGACTCAGTCCTGGGCCTGATGGTCTTCAACATTTTTATTAATGACTTGGATGAGGAAGTGCAGAGAATATTTATCAGATGTGCAGATAACACAACACTGGGTGAAATAACTAATAATTTCGAAGTCAGGAGCAAAATTCAAAATATCTTGATAGGCTCAAGCACCAGGCTGAAAACAACAGAATGAAATTTAGCAAGGAGAAGTGCAAACTGCTATACCTAGAGGGGGAAAAAAAAACAAATTCACAGTTACAAGATGTGGAATACTTTGCTCAATACTACAACAAGTGAGAAGGATCTTGGAATTGTTGTAAGTCACAAGCTGAATATGGGCCCACAGTGCAGTGTGGCTGCAAAAGAAGGCAGATGCTATTTTAGGCTAAATTTACAGATGTATACCCTCCAAATCCCATAAAGTACTAGTTCCCCTCTGTTCGGCACTGATTAGGTCTCATCTTGAGTACTGTGTCTCAGTCTGGACACAGCACTTCGAGAAGGATGGTATTCCCATTAGCCGCCTAGAGTGGTCTGGTAGTCCAGATAGGCAGGGTACAAATCAAATCAAATCAAATCAAATCAAATCAAATCAAATCAAATCAAATCAAATCAAATCAAATCAAATCAAATCAAATCAAATCAAATCAAATCAAATCAAATAAATAAATAAATAAAGGATGCCGACAAACTGCAACATGTTCAGAGGATGGCAACAAGGATGATGAGATGACTAGAAACCAAGTCCTATGAGGAAATCCTAAAAGAACTGGGCATATTTAGCCTTGAGGAAAGACTGATAACACAAGTTGCAGGAAATCCGATTTCAGTTCAATATTGGGGGAAAATATCTTTACTGTTAGAGCAGTACAACAATGGAACCTCAAGAAGAGGTAAGGGTTCCTACATTGGAGACCTTCAAGAGAAAATTGTGCAGCCAGCTCTCAAATATACTTGTATTTGGATTCCTGCATTGAGCAGGGGGTTGGACTTAATGGCCTTATAGCCCCCTTCAACTCCATTATTCTATGATTCTATTTTAATGAAAGTCTTTTTGCATCTTAGAAAAATTGTGCTACCAAGCTCGAGAGAATAAGGATCTGAGAATATTGGAAGGGGGGGGGCACAGCATATGGGACTAGTAGACAATTGCCTCTTGCTTTTGAAGAAAGATTAACTGCCAGCTTGTTTGGATTTTTTTTTTACTTTTCAAAGAGTTATTCCTTTTTATTGGAAAAGGATCATGTAGGATTACATAGCTTCTGCGTTCTTATTTGCAAATTGTTCCCCTCCCCTCATGGGAAAAGAAACCAACTCTATATCTTCAAGAATGGAAATAATATAAAAGCTGGTGTCTGAAAGACCTAAATCTTTTGAGCCTGGGAGATCAGAGACTGATTCAGATAATACAGATCAAACTTTTAGCACTGAAATGGCCAAGACCTTTTTTGATGGTAGTCCCCATTTCCCCGTATGGTTCCCAGTTTTTTAAGGGGGTCAACTAATATTGCACATTTTTAACAACTTTGTTGGTTGTTGTTTCTTGCAGAGTGATTTGTGGTCTTTAGGGATAACAGCCATCGAGATGGCAGAAGGAGCTCCCCGTGAGTACAATCATAATTTCATGCTTTATCATACTTCAGATTGTTAAAATTCATTATGCACTTGTACTGAGTCCAGTTATGTATGAGAAACTGTAGACAAATTATCTCCAGGCAACGTGCTGAAATGTTATAGATGTAGAATATATGAAATAATTAGCTAACAAGGTGAAGATAAGAAGAAACGTTGCCTTTGTCTTATTCTAAGCCAACATCCACGACATTCCAGTACTCTGCCATGCATGACAGAAAGCAGAACACACAAGAAGGCTGGATTAACATGCATAGTCTCACTTCTTTTTCACCAGGGGCCAGAAACAAGTTTAGCTTGCAGTTGAAAAGTGTCCCTTTACTTTTTGTTGAATAAATCAGAATATGCCATCCATTCCTTGGGGTGCCAAATTTGTAAACAGTACTTCAGTTGGGTGTACTGGCATCCTCTAGGATATGACCATTAGAAGTGGTCACAGAGGACTTTTCTGTGTATTTGGATCTGGTTGCAGAACTTGTTTGTTATTTTGAATAAATGAGATAGACTTTAAAAAAAATTATTATAACTTTAACTATGTTGTCTAACAAACTTGTGGAGCAGTTTTTTTTCTCTCTCTGATGTTCATCCTGGAACAGGAGACTCAGTCAGCTGTTGGGAGAAAGGATAAAAGGGAGAGGGCCAGCCTGATCGATTGGGAGAAAGGATAAAAGGGAGCCTGATCTCCCGAGGGAGAGCATTTCACATCTGGGAGCTTGTCACAGAGAAGGCTCTCTCCCCTGCCTACATAAGCTGTAGTACTGATAGGAGGACCTTCTCTGATGATTTTAAATGCCAAGAAAGCTCATATGGGGTGATACCGTCCTTCAGATAGTTTGGGCTCCATGGATATTAAACTGTGTGATGCTGATTGGCCCACAAAACTAGCCATTGAGCACGGGGCTTTGGATGCTAGCACTTGTGTGGGCCTTATATGAGACCTCTGTGGACCCACTAACTGCCCAAGAATGCCATGTGCTAATGGTGCAGTCTCATACAATATGAGAATGGCCCCAAGATGTGAAATAGAGATAAACCAATGGTACTATAAGCTAATGCAACAAGCATTTTTTAGCAGAAATCCCTCACTGTGGTATATTTTCTGTCTTTGAGAGCAGAACATGAATTAAAAGCATGTTAATGAACAATGTAAACGTCCTGTATCACACATGCCTATAAATAGAATGCCATGTGGTCTTAGTGTAGAATTGAATGTCTTTGATAGAATATCCTGTGTTTTCTATCAAGTTTCATGTTACAGCTGATGCTTCTTTTATGATTGTTCAGCCCTTTGTGACATGCATCCCATGAGAGCTTTGTTCCTTATTCCACGAAACCCGGCCCCCAGGTTGAAATCAAAGAAATGGTGAGTAGGTCTGTTCTCCAGCTTTCACGCAGCTTTGGATTTGCATGCTGTAGGAAGCTGTTCTATGTTACTTACAGGCTGTGGGATGTAAAAATAAACAAACGTACTCAGAATGAAAATACAAACACCTCTAGAGCAAATGTGAAACAGTGTGTGACAAAAAATTTGGAAATGTCAGTAGTGTGAGGTTTTTTTTCCCTCTTTCAAGCTAAGGCTGTATGGATTTGTTTGTAGCATGCCGAGCCAGAGTCTGGATTGACACCTTATGTAGCCTCTCTGTTATCTACAAATAAAGTAACTGTATGTTATAGAATCATAGGATGTAGAGCTGGAAGGAACACCACTAAACATGTGGCTCAACGGATGGCTGATGCAGGAAATCCATACCTGAAGTAGCCTTGATCTATCGAAGCCAATTTAAAAAGGACTAACCAAGGAGAGTCTACCACTTTCTGAAGCAGTTCATTCCACTGTCATGTGAACAGGTCTAAGCAGAATTTAATTCTTTTACAGTGTATCGTTAGAACTTTGAACGTTGTCATTCTATTCTTTGGGTTCTGTAGTACCCTAATGAATTTGACCAACATGAATTTGGCCAAACTCTGGGAGGCAGTGGAAGACAGGAGGGCCTGGCCTACTCTGGTCCATTGGGTCACGAAGAGTCGGACACGACTTAACGACTAAACAACAACAAAAGTACCTTAATGTTATATTGTAGCCTAGCAAAACCTGCACACCCACTTCTTGTACTGTATGTGTGAACCAGGAGATAGGCCTCTGCACTCTGTGTTAATGCAATCAGAGCATGCTAAATGCTACAACAAGGCCTTCTGGTATTTAGACAGTCTTGAATTCACGTTAGAAAGCAACATTTTAAATGGGATTTTATTCAGAGTCTGAAATCAGCAGCTGTCTACTGGGTTCTGTGGTTCCTGAGTCCAAGAAGAAAACTATCACACACTCCTATTAGAATGTGTGATAGTGTCTAGCCCAGCATGCTGTAAAGCCCTTGGGCTAGAGAACACTTGTTAAAGACACAGAAAAGTGGATTACTCAGTGCAAGACTCCTGAAAGCTGAAGGTGAAGAAGTTGGTGAAATCCTCTAATAAGTAAGGAGAGGATCTGGAGCCTCACTTGCTGCTATGAATTGGAGGAAAAGCACTGGGAAAATATTGCTTTGTTTTATTCTTTCCTTGACATCTGTTTTCAAATCACCTTAACTCACTTAAAAGCAAAGGATAGAGTTGTTTCCTTGCTACCTTCCCCAAATCAATACAAAAAGTATTTTTGTATTGTTATTTACAAGTAGAGTTATACACAACCCCCACCCCCTAGTTTGGTTCAGGGACCATTTGGGTGATTTTGACTCAGTTGATTTAGAAATAGGGATTACTAGCTTTCCCATGTTTTGCACTGGAAAGCCAAAATGGCTATAACTTTTTTGGTTCTTCATATATGAAATTCAGAGCCACAACAGAAGCCAAAGAGGGGAGTAATTTATTGCATTTCAGACAGGTAGTATCATGGATAGAGATGGGTGCGAACCACAAAAATGGTAGTTCTGAACTTTTTAAACAAGTTGAACCACTGAACAGTTCATTTTTTTAAAAAACGTTTGTGTCTGGGGAAGGAGAAACTAAACCCCCAGTCCCATAACCTGCCCCTGCCCCCTTCCCACTGCCCCAGTTGCCTCCTTACCTGGTCCTGCCTCCTTCTCCATCGCTGCAGATGGTTGATCCGACACAGCGGGGTCCCCAGTTTGGCCCTGTGCCTTGCTGGATTGCCCATTTGCAGCCCCGCAATCTGCCCCCGTCACCTCCTGACCTGATCCTGCACCTCCTCCTGCATCACTGCAAATAGGCAATCTGGTGGCACGAAGCCCTGATCCGGCACCACGTGGCACTGGATTGCTCATTTGCAGCCCGCAGTCCATGACACTTCCCTACCTGGACCTATTGCCTCCTCTGCCATCTTGAAAGACAGGCCGAGCTTCCCTCCCAGAAGCCAGGCCTGCTGTCCCGGTCCATGGCCCCGCCTACAAGCTGATAGGCGGCAGCTTACACATAGATGGGAGGCTCATCTCCCAGAAGGGAAGCCAAGCCTAGTGGGTCTCAAGATGGCAGCATAATCTGAAGAGGAGGAAGCAACAGGACCAAATAGGGAGGTAATGGGGGCAGTGGGAAGGGAGCAGGAGGCAGGCTGTGGAGCCGGGGGGGAGGGAAACAAACCAGGAAGCTCATTAAATTGTTTAAAAAGTTCATGGTTTGGGGCGGTTCAAGTTTGTTGGTTTTAACAAACATCCTGGTTTGTTTTTTGGTTTGTTCCCATCTCTAGTCATGGATGTGCACATTGTTGTTATTTCACCTCATATACAGTGGTGCCTCGCATAGCAACGTTAATCTGTTCCAGGATTAACGTTGCTATCCGGATACATCGCTATATGGAATGTAAAACGCCATAGGAACGCATTAAGCTCCGTTTAATGCGTTCCTATGGGGTGAAAACTCACCGGTAAGTGAAGATTCCCCATCCGGCCACATTGGAATCATCGCAGTGTGATCACATTAGCGATCGCAAAAAAGCGTCCTTATGCAGATTTTTTTGTTAAATGGTGTGCTTGTTAAGCGAGGCACGCGTCCTTATGCGGATTTGTCGTTAAACGGTGCGCTCGTTAAGCGAGGCACCACTGTACTTATATGGTGGTGAGGCACTCTCTAAGTGGTTTACGACATCAGCACATTGACACCCAGTGAGCTACTGGGGGTGAGGTACTTGGTATTGGGGAGCATAATGTTTATTTAAAAAAACACAAAATACTAATCTTCAAAGCATGTACCCCTGTTTTGTTCAGTCCTATTCATGCAGTTTTTGTCCTACTGTTGACACTACCTTCCTAGATCCTGTAGAAAATGCCTACATGAGCAGTTGAAGAACAGCACCAAACAAGAGTCAGCAAAAACAAAGAAAGAGCTGGAAGAATGAGTTAGAGTTTTGCATGAAAAGAGTATAGAGGACACTGGACAAGCAGACAGGTAGCAGGGAGAACCCAGGAAACGATTGGGGTGTGGGGGGAGGATTTTGACTGAGATTTAGGTGCTATTGATTTGGTGGCCTTTAGCATGGTGTTCATCTCTCACTTGATCGTATAACATGGGTGCAATAAAACTATGCTATCTCAAAGAAGATAGTTCTAAGTGTCACTTGAGATAATTTATGTGGAATGGAGAGGTAATGTGTTTGCAATATTTTGGATACTTGGGGAAGGTGTTTAAAAACTGTTGCTGTAGGAGGTATGTTATCAATTTCTGGGTGACTCTTACTACTTAAAAAAACAGAAAATAATAATCTTCAAAGCATGTACCCCTTTTTTGTTCAGTCTATCCTATTCATGCAGCTTTTGTCTTACTGTTGACACTACCTTCCAAGAGCCTGTAGAAAATGCCTACACGAACAGTTGAAGAACTGCACCAAACAAGAGTCAGCAAAAACAAAGAAAGAGCTGGAAGAATGAGTTAGAGTTTTGCATGAAAAGAGTATAGAGGACACTGGACAAGCAGACAGGTAGCAGGGAGAACCCAGGAAAAGATTGGGGTGTGGGGGGGGATTTTAACTGAGATTTAGGCGCTATTGATTTGGTGGCCTTTAGCATGGTGTTCATCTCTCACTTGATCCTATAACATGGGTGCAATAAAACTATGCTATCTCAAAGAAGATAGTTCTAAGTGTCACTTGAGATAATTTATGTGGAATGGAGAGGTAATGTGTTTGCAATATTTTGGATACTTGGGGAAGGTGTTTAAAAACTGTTGCTGTAGGAGGTATGTTATCAATTTCTGGGTGACTCTTACTACTTCAACATTGCTTTGCATTGCTTTTTAAAGCAGCAGGGGCTGGATAGCTCAGTGATTTAGGTATCCGGCTGTGGAGCCACAGGCTGGAAGTTCAATTTCCCACTGTGCATCCTGAGAGAAAAGCCAGCTTCTGTGTCCTTGAGCAATCTGCACAGTCCCAGGGTACCCACAGAAGAAGGGAGTGTTAGACCACTTCTGTGTGTTCTCTACTACTGTATTCTATAAGGCAGAATTAACTTGCAGCGTGCAGTTATTTAAAGCAGTAGGAGAGGTGGAAAAATGTAGGCAGTTTGGTTTTTAGAAGTATTCAGCAGCAATTGGACAACTCTATGTGCCAGATAAACACAGCTGTGTATCCTCTTTTATTACTCCATTCATCATAGTTTGCCATAGGTAGGTTGCTTGAGCAGGAGAAAAATGACAGGAGGGAATTACATTGAGGGTGGAGTAAAGGGGAATTAAGTGTTTACACATAGTCTTCATAGAGGATGAACTTCCTGTTTGCTCGTTCTGTGGAATTTTAGAGATGCTGACACACAAGAAGAAGTCCTGTTTGTTAGCCACTTTCTAATTTTCCTTGATTTCTCAGTGTGCTTCTTCTTCTAACTGAACCTGAGGATAGTTCTCTTCTCCCTATTTGTTCCTTTATGGTGGTTTCTTTCTCCTGATTCAGGTAGTAGCCCTTGCACTATAGCTTATATACCTGACAGTTTTGGCAGTCCTTGAATCCAGTAAGGTAGGAAGTGGATGTCTCCAGTTCAGATAACATGCAGCAGCAAATGAAATGCAGCTGCCTGCTCCGTGGACTGAAACGGGGAACATTTTATATTTGTAGGGTACACATGCTAAGAGTTACAGATACCTTAAACAATTTGGCTAGAGTTGAACAGAGATTCATTTAGTGTTGAAGTGCTTGCACACTGAACACACACAGTCTTGGATCTTGTCAACTTGAGTTGTGTGTCAAGTTCTTTGTGTGCATGCACACATTCACTGGGCTCTCCCTGAAGGTCTGATGGTTGATCCTTGTAGGTTCCTCCAGAACAGAGTTGCACAGTTTGTCAGTTGGAGATTCTGTTGCAGTGCTCTTTTGCCCAGATCTTAACGATTGGGAACTTGCAGTGGGGTGACTTATGAAGAATGCACCTC